ATCAGCTTTGGCGGAAAGCATAATTAGTCGGCTGGAAATAAAAGCTTTTCTTCCCAGAAATTGAAACTTTTATCATTCTTATGTTCATAGTAATTTACCTTTCCCTTGCAATCTCCCAATTTCAACTATTTGACAATGATTGAGCCAATCACTGACGATGTAGACTGGGTTTATTGCTTAAATTTATGAAAAATTTCAGAGTCATGGTTTTCTTACAAGTTAGACGGCTATCAAGATTAACCACATAAAGCATGTATTTGAAATAATTATGATAAACGGATATAGATATATCACACAAGATTAATGCTCGAAGTTAAAGCATAAAGGTTTCAACCGAAAGAGAATAGTATTTCGTTGCTGATTTTTTCCACTCGACCGACAAGTTGTTTCATTAATAACCACTAGTCGTTAAACCGTTTTGAAAGTGTGGCGGTGGTAATAAGCAAGAGGCACTTCTTGTTATTCCATATTGTAGTCGCAGTGAACCACTGATTTCGCAAAGTGCAATTATTAGGCAAAGAGACCATAGACCGTGTAACAAGAGCTCGTTTGACCAGGACCTCTGACCATCAGTATCAACCAGTGGCGTTTCAGTCATTAACAGAGACGATCATTGGTCTAGGGACAACTGGTGACCAAGTAATTTGAACGTAGGCTGGTGGCAGAGTTAAACTGAGGTCTTTTTTAGCATTCATGAAGAACAACGAGGGAGGCGGCTAACCGGCGCCGCATTTTTATACACACTCAGTTCGCCGGTCGCTCCCACGATCTCGCGACAGCCTATCTCAGGCAGCGATCGATGAGGGCGTTTGGTGGTTGGACTGAGGGACGATCATCTGTCGCGGCGGCCATCACTCAGCGCTTGCAATTTGCTACGACAATCACATCTAACACGTTGATGAGTGATAATTTCCTTTCTTGCCGTTATTTACTGTCTCTTCTGTAGTTTATAGGAAAATGTTTGCCGAAACGTAAGCGATTCAGGCGATGATCCGTTGGATCGATCCATTTCACGCCGCTCTCATGGCACGCGTTCAGCTGATGAGGTCCGAAACGAGGCGAATGACGTGAGTTAGCAGCGGTGATCAGGGGACAGA